GTATTGGGATCTATTTTATTCTGTAAGTTTGAGAGTATTTGTTTAACATATCTGGGTGCACCAATATTTGGGGCATATAAGTTGATGATGGTAATATCCTCCTCTTGGATTGTTCCCTGTATTAATATGTAGTGTCCGTCCTTGTCTTTCTGTACTGATTTTAATGAAAAGCTTATTTTGTCAGATATCAGGATAGCTACCCCTGCTTTCTTACTGGGGGCATTTGATTGGTAGATCCTTTTCCACCCCTTCACTCTGAGTTTCTATGTTTGGCTGAGAGGTGGGTCTCCTGAAGGCAACAGATGGATGGGTCATGTTTTCTGATCCAATCTGCAGTTCTTTTTCTTTTGATTGGCAAATTAAGCCCATTAATATTAAGAGATAGTATAGAGAGATGCATTGTGGTCCCTGTCATTCCCTGTTTTCCTCAGTTTTTCTTCTTTCCTTTCCTCCTGTGCTTGCTCAGTTAGACTTCTTTTAATGCCTGTCTGGGTGCAGGTCCCAGTTCCTGGTTGCTTTCTTCAGGTTGTGTCCCCCCTCTTAGTATTCTTGTAATGCTGGCTTAATGTTTATGTATTCATTTAGTTTTTCTTTGCTATTAAAAGTTATCAGTTCTCCATCGAATGTGAATGCTAGCTTTGCCGGGTATATCAGTCTGGGTTGGCCGTTATTGGCTCTCAGGGCTCGTATAGTACTTTTCCCAGGTCTTTCTTGCATTCTAATTTTTTTCCCATTGTAGTATAGCTCCTTCTTCATTCTTGCTGCATGCAAGATTGCTTCCTTATTATTCAGATCTATCATTTTTACTATAATGTGTCTAGAAGTGTTTCTCCTGAGATCTTTCTTGTTGGGTGTTCTATACACTTCTGTTATGTAGGTAAGATGTTCTTTTGAAGCCTCTCTTATCTTTGATATATTTTCTTATTTCATCCATTAGGGGCCAACTTCTATGGCTCCTTGCCCTCCTTGAGGCACGGCTGCCTTTACCAGGCCGCCCATCTGCATAGCTTCATTTCATCTTGCTTGGGTTCCCACATCCAGGCCAGGCTTCCCCTCCATGTGGAGGAGTTCCTGGTCCTACTTTATCTCTGACTTGAAGCCATCATGACTCCCTTCTCCATTGCAAGGTGTACCCACCACCTTGGTGTGCTCTAGAAGCTTTGGGACTAAATTATGAGCAAACAAGGAAAACAGACAAGAGAAAGCACTGAGTGAAAGCATTGGAATGGAAGGGGAAGAAAGGATGATGTTTGAAATAAGTGAGTGCTTTTAACATTGCTGTTGAATCAATTGACCAAGCAACTATCTTTATTCAGTGTTCATTATATTAACACAGTGGGGAGATGAAAATGGATTACAAAGGTATACTGGGGGGAGATGAGATAGAAACATTAGATCAAAACCCAATACAACACATCTCAGTAGAGTGGTACAAAAACATGAACTTAGAAATGGGAGCATCAGATGAGCAATACACCTTCAATGAGGAAGAACATGGCAGATTAACCCTGTGGATGATGAATAATCTAATTGGAGACTTGAAACAGACCCCAAGCAATCACTGGTTCTGATGATAAAAATGGAAAATCCTCTTTCAGCCTCTCCTGTGGGTAGAGGCCTCATAATCATAATCTTTGCAGAATGGAGTTTGTTATCAGCTTTCTCAACACAATTCACATAGTAGAATGATGCAAATAAAACATTGGACATAGACTTTTGATCACAGGTCATCACAAGAACTCTCCTTTTCCTAATTGCTGATAAGATTAGTGATAAATGCCTGTGCTCTGATCAGAGAATGGCAAAAATGATGAGAGAAAGAAATACTCCTGGGAGAACAGGAAGTCAGTTCCTTTATAGCACCCAGTAGATAAAAGCCCATACATACAGCCATTGAACAAACTTGAAATTGTCTAGAATTGCTAATCACAAATTCACAGAAGAAGACCAGACCTGGCTTCATTTCTGAGGGGTTCTTTTTCCCCCACACACAATCAATCAATTTTCTAGTGCTCCTGGATAAAAGTCCTTAAAAAACACAGCAGAAAAATCTTTGCAGAAAATCATGCTCCACTTACAGTCCCATCTCTTGAAATAATCTTTAGGACAATGGGTTTTTCAGGTTGAAGAAGTCCTTGATCAATTAATTTCAAAGGAATCTGCAAAGGTGAAAGAAGCACAATGAACACAGAACTAGAGGGAATCAGGAGAAAACATACAACAGCGAGACCCATCAGCTGCACTGGACATTGATCAAAACGAACTAAGCAACTCAATGGCAGCAATAGGAGGGAGGGAACGAGCGGGAAAGAGGGAACAGCTGACATTATGCAAAACAAAAGAAATGTACATATCACCCAATGTAGAAGAAATAACTGTACTGTCAAAGGCTCATAGAACTCATAAATGTTATAGACCACGATAGAAAATTTGCCCCATGAAAGTTAGAATGTGTTTGAGACTTTAACTAAGCATCACTATCCCACGATACTGTGAAATGTGGGAAATTATATAATCACTTAATCAAAATTTAAAAAATTGAAAAAAAGGAAAGAAGCACAATGAGAAAGCAAGTAACCAAGTACCTCCAATCACAGCAGCAAAGAAAAAGACACATTAAAGGTAATGACTGTCAACAAGTTTTGACTTTGCTTGTCTTGAATACTTTCATTCATTGAGCTCTGTCAAGATTGGGGTAGGAAAAGTACTCTTTCAACTGTTCACTGGGAAAAAATATAGGTATATATGTTATGTTACTCTACTGATATAATTTTAAGATAAAGGAATGAGTTTAAAAAATTTACCTATCCAGGTACCAGTGACTCATGCCTGAAATCCTAGTTACTCAGGAGGCTGAGATCTGAGGATCACAGCTCAAAGCCAGTCCAGACAGCAAAATTCCTGAGGCTCTTATCTCCAGTTAATAATCCTAAAGGTGGGTGTGGATCTGTGGCTGAAGTGGTAGAGCATTACCTTGAGGGGAAAAGCTCAAGGATAGCACCCAGGCCCTGAGTTCAAGTCCCAGGACTGGCACAAAAAACACACAAAATTTAAATCAGTTTCTTAGCCACTAAGGCAAGATATTTTTGAAAACTCATAAAAAGTTTCATTTTGGATTTGTTGGATCTGTCAAGGATAACCCTCAAAAAGTATTATACATTTCAATTGCAGAAACAGTCTTCAAATTCTAAATAGCCCAATCAATATTTCAATTTGAGACAATGCAGTTTAATGACAAGAGAGACTTCTAGAAGGACTTGATTGCTTGCTTGTTTTCTCTCTTCCTTCTTTTCCTTTTCCTTCCTTCTTTCCTTCCCAATTGTGTGTGGGGAACTAGGGGTGTCCTGGGGTTTGAACTGAAGGCTTCAGCACAGTCACTGAGCTTTTTGACCAAGACTAGCACTCTACCACTTGTTCCACAACTATACTTCAAGCTTTTCAGTAGTTAAGTCCATGGGATATGGGTCTCATGGACTTTCCTAACTTTGCTGGCTTTTAACCATGTTCCTCGGATCTCAGAATCCTCAATGGCTTGGGATTACAGGCATGAGCAGCTGGTACCTGGCTTCCTTCCTTCTTTCCTCCCTCCTTCCCTTTCTTTTAATTTTCCTATCATGTTCTTTTGGCTTCCCAGCATAGTGGGAAATAGGGAATTTCTGGGTACTGTACTAAGTACTCCATACTGTGAGTTGGTCTTTCAGTAGTGGAGGGGTGGCCTGCCCATCCCAGAATAGGTAAGACAAGCATGTTGTTATGAAAGTGAACACACTCCTATCTGGAAAAAAGATGCTCTGGGGACCTGCTGAGCATTTGTTCCATCTCAAGTATGCTTTTTCTTAAGGTTAAGTTGCTTGGTTGCACATTTAAGAGGAAAGTGACACAGCACTCCCAAAGCCATATATGAAGCAGAAACTATCTATATACCTATCTGTCTATCTATCTGTCTATCTATCTATCTATCTATCTATCTATCTATCTATCTATCTATCTATCTATCTATCTATCTATCTATCAGCTATCTACATCCCCTCTCCCAGCAGCAATCCCACTAAAAGCAAGACCAAAATTTTAAATACATGAGCTTTGGAAATAAGTCTATCCTTCAAGAAACAGCTGTAAGCTTTGGCAAAGGAGAACCTCCTCAAATATCATGATCACGAGATCATTCTATGTCATGATCAAATGCCATGCATCCTAACTCCAGCTGACAGGAAGTTCAAATGCACTCAGGTCCAAAATCCTCAGCAGAGCCACATCATGCTAATCCACACGGAGTGGACATCACTTTCCTACTCTGATTTTATCAAATAAATGATCTGGTTCCCAAATTGGGAAATCTAAGAAATGGAACAGCAATAACAACAAAGATTTTTTGGTTAATCCAATATTAAAAGATGACAATAGGCCTCTCAATTTTTAAAAAAAATAAGCAAAAAAAATCTCCCATAAAGCCAGGCACCCTTAGCTCATGCCTATAATCCTAGCTACCCGGGAAGTTGAGATGACACTTTAAAGTCAGTCCAGGATAGAAAAAGTCCCTAAGACTCTTCTCCAATTAAACAGCAAAAAGCTGGAAGTTGGGGTCTGGGAAGGTGGCTCATTGGTAGAGTGCTTGTCTTGCATGCATGAGACCCTGGGTTCAATTCCTCAGCACCACATAAGCAGAAAAAGCTGGAAGTGGAGCTATGGCTCAAGTGGTAGAGCCCTAGCCTTGAGCTGAAGAGCTGAGGGGCAGTACCCAGGCCCAAAGTTCAGGCCCCATGATCGACAAAAAAAAAATTGGAAAGTGGAGGTGTAGCTCAAGTGGTACAGCACCAGCCTTTAGCAAACAACACACTGAAGACTGTGAGGCCCTGAGTTCAAGCCCCAGTATTCAGTCCCGAACAAATGTCATGAAGTATTATTTACCTAGGAAGTATACTGACCTGGGTCTCCTTACAAGGTTGGAAGGAGAAATTCTGCATGAGTCTGACAAGAGCAAGTTTGATGTTCATGAGAGCGAACCTCATGCCGATGCAGTTTCTGGGCCCAGCTCCAAAGGGCATGTAGATGTAAGGATTGATGCTTTCCTTGTTCTTCTTGCTGAACCTGAAGCAACAAAAGTGGGGAAAACATGAACATCTCAAGAACCCAGCTATTTGTGGCTGAACTTCGGATATCCCTAAACAGTACTAGATAGTATTGGCCAATGAAATCCTGCTATG